GATTCGCTTGCATAAGTGTTAAACAAAATGTTGATATTTTAAGAACTGATTGGGGCACTATTTTATTGTTTTATGTAAAGGTGCATGCTAGGGTTGCCAGGTTGTCACAACAAAACCTGCCCAATTGCTACTCAAAACTAGCCCAATCGTGTTTCGAGGGTGGTCCCCCTTTAAAAATCGTGTTCTGGGGTGTAAAATACACGCTTTCAGTTGGGGTTCCCCTGGTAAATTCGCATTCCAGTGCCAAAATATGACGTTATTGCGGTCACTACAACCCGTGACATCAAAAATAACCGCGGACTTGGCAACACAGATGGTAGCGCTCACTAACTTGCTCAAGCGCTCCTCTTTGTGCCAATCACAACAGGCTTGGCCAACTGACCAATCAGAGCAGAGTAGGCTTATGGAAGGGAGGGGTTTACAGACATTTCGCTCAGAACTGAATCGAACGAACCGTTTCGAAATCATGGACAAATGACTCTATGTATAAATGTATATTCTGGGAAAATATTCCCAGACTGTTCTGACTCACAGCCTGTAAGTACGTTTTCATTTAAAGGATTTGCCACTGATGATTCAAACGCGTGTTTTGAGCAGTGTAGAGTAGCGCTTGTTGTTTGTGATTTCTCCGATCACAAATGCAGACATGGTTTTATGTTTACGCGGCGCGATGCAATGTATAGTCAGTATAAGTCTTTATAATCCGTAATTATGTCCCCACTGGATGCAACAAATGCCTTGTTTATAATGGGTTTTAATGTTTTTGTCTCGTCGCTCCGGCCGGACACGGCATCACAGTATGGTGAGGGGCGTAACATTTCCGTCACACGCTTGAGGTATTCAGCCAATCACAACGCACTGGATAGCTGGCCAATCAGAGCACACCTCGCTTTTCAGACCGATGAGCTTTGTAAAAATCGACGTGTTTCAGAAAGGCGGGGCATAGAGGAGAAACAATAATGTACAGTATGAGTACATATACACAAAATAATGTTCTTTTTAGCAACATCATATGACCCCTTTAATCAAACTCACTTCATCTTGATAAATTTCACGAAAAAACAAGAGTTTTATTTTGCTTCAAGTAATTGTGTTTTGATTTAAGAGTCTTCTCAGGTTTGCACTGACTGGAAAACAAGACAAAAATACTTTTTTTTTTTATTTTTTTTTTTACATTTTTTATTCTATTGTAATAGTTTTTGTTAGTAAAATGAGTTCAAATGTAATGATATCTATTGGAAATTGTTTTCAAACTTTGAGGCATTGCCAATACAAGACATTTACATTTAGAGACCATATTGACGTATTCCATTCAAAAAAAAAATTTTTCTTTAAAAACTTTCTCTACTTGGTCTTAAAAATCTTAAAGTCTTGAATTTACATTTATAAAACTTGCAGAAGCCCTGTTTTTAATTTCGCCTTAATGCTGATTACCCAAATACTGCAGCCGAATGTTGTACTAGACGCTCTTTTTACAATCAGTCACTACTAACTTTACCTACATATACTAGCTAGCTTATATTATCAACCAGTCAGATTTATTACCAATTTATTACAAATTTAAATTGTGTGACAAAAAGATAGCCTATAGTATGTTATAGTAGCCTATATAATAAATGTATACGAAATTTACTTTTGTCCACAGTTGTAAAGCAGACAGTTTATTAAAATCTTAAGATCGCATTAGTTACTATTATAAAAATATAGTTTTAATTTATGATGCCTGAAAATGTTAGTTTGGTTATGCCATGTAAAATGGAAATATGTGCATAACTGTAAGGTAAGGTATGCGCTGCAGAAAACATCTCTTCGTTGCATTAAACAGTAAGCACACTGTTAGATTTGGCACAAATAACATTTTATAACTTCCTTTTCCTTCCCTTTGAAATTCAAGACGAATTGTTGCTGCTGCCATTAAGTGTTTTTATGTTTTTAAATGCATTTTTTGCCGCTCAGCTTTGGCGGTGGCGACCAGGGTGGCGTCTCTGAGGACTCAATATTCCAGACTGAGGAAACCCAAACCCAACGGGAGTGAGAAGAAGCCCCTCACGATGAGGCAGCGGTGGCTCCTGAGGGCCCTCGGCTTCCTGAAGCCACACATCGTTCATCGGCAAAGCGAGAACCCTGTACGTCTAAAAAACACAACAAAACGTGATGTGCATAGAGCCCTATGAAATCAGTGTTGTTTTTTCCCATTTTAATTTTTCTTGTTTAAATGGGTAAATTTATTTTTTTATTTAATTTAGGTACCCACAAAGCATCGCGAAACTTGTACAATTTAACCACAAAGTCACACTTTACAATAAGGTTCCTTTTGTTAACTATATTTAAAGCAATAACTAACAATGAGCAATACATTTGTTACAGTATTTATTCATCTGTTAATGTGCAATTTTTCAGTTTAATGTGTTAGTAAATGTTGGAATCAACGTAAAGATTAATAAATGCTTTAGAAGTAGTTTTCATTGTTAGTTTAACTAATGTTGTTAACTAATATGAACAAATTGTAAAATGTTACCAACACCAATTTATTAAACGTTTAACAAATTAAATTTTTGGGGATTTTTTTTCCCTCTGAATTTCTTTTTTTTTCTTTTTTTTTTTTTTTTGCAAATTCAGTTTTCAGTTTACTTTTTTTTTTCGTTTTTTAATAGTTTTGTAGTAAAGCATACGTAATCAGTTGATTTTCAAAACAACAGTTGATTTTTTTACAATACGGCACTATAAAAAAAAAATGTTCCCCCAGAAATTGTATTCTTATTTCTCTATTTATGATTTCATGCAAATGCATTATCAAAACTGGTGGCATTCAAATGAAGGCATAAGTCATTAAATGTTTAATCCTTTAAACCGTCAACAAATGAAAATTTAATACGTTTACTGTGAACGAACGGACCGGTGTAGGCTACTGTTAAAACGAAAACGAATTGAGAACAGTAAATAAAGTAGATTCTGCGAATCCGTCTTTGTTTACTCGCATTGTGAAAGTCTTGCGCGAGTCATTAAGACTGATTGTAATTGTTCTTGCTCTTCTTGTAGCTGGGTTCTGATAAAGTGGAGGAAACTGCAGACGAGTCGGATGAAATGGAGACGGACAAAGAAGTGGACAGTTTCGACTCCATCAGCGTGTGTCTCTCCCCGATGCCCGGCACTCCAGACACCGGCATCCCCGAGGAAACTGCCTCGTACTCGCTGTCTCCCCGGAGCACATCCGGCAAACGCACGCGCTCCTCCGAATCCGACATCGAGCTGCAGAAGCTGGAGGTGTTGAAGCAGATGTCCGCTAAAGTCCTGGAGCACCCGTCTCCGGACGCCGCCGCCGTCTTCTCCAGCCAAGTGGCGATGGAGTACCGTCTGCTGAGAGACCCCAGCGTCCAGATGCGCGTCCGCCGGCAGATCATGGCTCTCCTCTACGAGGCACAGGATTCAGAGAAACGTTCCCGGCAGTCCAAGAGACACGAGCAGAGAGAACTCAAAACTGAGGACGACGTTACTTGGATTAACACTAATATATAAGCTGAAAAATAGTGTTGTTCTTGTGTTTTCTACATTGTACTGAACTATTTTCCTAGTGGAAGCTTTGAGATAATCTACATGTAAGATAATAAAACTGTCCAACTCTTCATGTGTATTTTTATTTTTTTGTAGCTGTGAGATTATGAATAATCAAAACTTAGTTTCACTACCAAGACATTAAATGCCATCCAATAGCTTTTTGATTCGAAATATAGCATCTGTGCAGCAGGTGGCAGCATCTTGTAAGTGTACAGTTGAATTGCATTCATTAAAGATGCTGAAATGCACAAAAAAATCATTAAATTCATAATGTAACGTTATCTTTAAAAGCAAAATAAAACCTTAGAAATATATACTTTGATTTACTTATTATATATACATTTTATTTTATAATTTGTATTCATATTTATTTATATTTTTATGTACCTACAACAAAAAATTTATTCATAATGTAAAAATAATTAAGCAAAATAAAACCCTAGAAAGCAATTTTACATCATGATGTAAAATTAAAGTAACTAAAATTAAAAGAGAAATTAAAAGGAAAAAACATATATATATATATATTAGTACATTTTATTTTACTTTATGTAATTTTGAACATTGTATATGTGTAAAAACTAAAAATGTAATTAAATACATATTTTAAGTATTTTAATAAATTAATAGAAAACATTTAAATAAATTATGTATGCATATATTGGTTAAACCGAAATGTATAACTCATGTCAGGGTCACTTTAAGTAAACACAAACTGGCTGGCTGGCAAAAATATTGAATCCATATTTAAATAATTGTTGCTGGCAAACATGTTTTGGATCCCTGGTTTTTCATATGTAGATACATCTCACGTTCCTCTATAATTGCGACATGTAGTTTCAGATGAAGAAAGACACAAATAGTTGTGCAAGATTCTGTAAGCCTAAATTATTAATTTTATTAGCAGAGAATTAAAATTATATTATTGTGTACGTGATAACAACAAATGTAACTTAAAATAAAATAAAAAAAATTTTTTCATCTGCAGTTCATCTGTCTGTTTCAGTGTAACGCAGGAACTCTGTCATGATAACACTAAACCTTGACTTGTTCTTTCTGTTATTATTACTCGGCCCTGTTTGAGCACCTGGAACGAGAGGAAAGGAAACAGACCTCCCTCACATTCTCCATCTGACGATAAATAAACAGTCCTCTGTGTTGGTGAAGCTGGTCTCAGTCGCGTCCAGCAGGGCTTTGATTTGTTCTGAACAGTCTTTGTATCCGCAGCCAGTTTCCTGCTGGATTATCAGAGAACAGAACGGCTTCATATAACCCACCAAAAGAGCTTTTTGTAAATGTTACTATCCTACTCTATATCATTGTATTTTTATATATTTATTTTATTTCGGGTGATATTTGTGTGGACAGTTGACGGTTTCATTCACAGCAAATTATATTTCAAAGTCCATTTGTGTGGGGCATGTTGTCACACTGGAAAATGGAAAAGGTAACAAACCTTATGTTTACTGAGATTATTTTCTGTGTGACAACCAATGTGATCATTAACTAAAACTATTAAAAATCGTTTTTGTTATAGACATTAAGTAAATCGTAAATAAAATTAATAGTAGATGAAAATGATAAATTAGACATATAACTAGCCTCTACACCTAACAATAAAATTAATTAAAATTTAAGTACTAAAATTATTACAACTAAAACTGAACTATAAATCTTAAATTTCAGGCAACGTTGATAATTTTCATTTGTTTGTCTTTTTAAGTGCACTTCATTATTCTTATTCTTAAGCTTTATTTTAATTTGAGTAATTTTAGTGCTTCAATTAGTTGCTGAGGGAGCATTTTCTAATTTTCGTTTAAGTACTAAAATTACTCAAATCAGAACTGAAATAAAAATAAAAATGAAGAAAAACAAATTCAAAAGCACATCGCAAAATTACTAAAATAAATATGAAAACTGAAAATATAAAAATAAAAGCTAATTCGAAATATTAAATAATAATAATAATAATAAATATAAAACTATATATGCTATAATAATATAATATAATACTAAAGTGACAACTAGCCCCGGTGAAACGCAGCATTGATTTCTGGAAGAACATAACAGTCTTCTGTTAGTGATGCTCTTTGAGAGTCCAGTTTAACATCACAGTGATTTGTGCGTCAGTGACAGGAAGTGGATGTTCTGAGAGGAAGTGCTCTCTCTCTCTCTCTCATGATGATGGGGGATGATGGGAAGGCGGGGTGCTTTGACCTAAATTCACACTCTTTCAGTGCTGTGAGCGCTGTGCTTTATTACCGTCGCAGGGAAAGATGCCACGTCCTGTTTTCTCCTAATGGTTCATTCTGTTTTCTCTCACATCTGCTCATTACGGAGCATTATAGAGCCTTCAACAACACACACTTTCATAAAGCCGCATTTACTCTGCTTTTCACCTCTCTGATTGGAATATTTTTCTCTTTCATCTCAGAGCTCTTCTGGCCCTCATCCGCTGTCTTTATGTCTCTCACCATTATGACGATCACTGGAAATAAGCTGTTATGATTCACAGTTATCTGATCAATGTAAGTCACTGCGAGATTTAAATTTTTTATATATACTGTATATATTTACACATTTCTTTCTTTATTTATTATTGTTTATAAATATAATTTCATGTGTAGGTGTGCTATTTAATTAAATTATTTTTATTTATAAATAGCACACCTGCAGCTGAGATTGTTTATAAATACAATTACTATAAATCAGGTAAACAAACAAAACAAAATAACTAACTAAATAAATAAATAAATAAATAGCACACCTGCAGCTGAGGTTGTTTATAAATAAAATGAATGCAAATATATTAGATTAAATAAATAAATAGCACACCTACAGCTGAGATTTGTTTATAAATAAAATTACTATAAATCAGATAAACAAACAAAACAAAATAGATAAATAAATAAATAACACACCTGCAGCTGAGGTTGTTTATAAATAAAATGAAAGCAAATATATTAGATGAAATAAATAAATAAATAGCACACCTACAGCTGAGATTTGTTTATAAATAAAATGAATTCAAATAAATTAGATAACAATAAATCAATCAATCAATAAATAAATAGCACACGTTTAGCTGAGATTATATCTATTTTTTATAAATATAGCTTAAGCTGTAGGCGTGCTATCTATTTTATATAATTTATATTTATTTATAAATATAATTTCAGCTGTAGGATGTGCTATTTGACTTGACTATTTCATTTATTTACTTATAAATGTAATCTGAACTGTAGGTGTGTATAAAATATAAATATATGCTGTATATCATGTGGATTTATGTATTTATTTCCACATATAATGGCCCCTGGATACAACCACACACCAATGTTGTTTTGTGAAGGTTTCGCCGATAGTGACAGTAAGTGAACGGCTCCTCTCAAAACCAATTATTTTCTAATTCTCAGCCAGACCTGTGAGTGAAACAGAAGGTTAAAAAAAGGACATTTGCGCGAGTGACTCAGCGGCTGGCGGGTCATTAAGACCCATCAAACATCCTCCTCCAGCAGATCCAGGCCTGCAGGCGTGACCCGCGGCAGATACAGAGCCTCCTGGGAGCAGCAACACCCCCTCTTCTGATGGAGCCGTCAATGAAAGCTAATCCAGCATAAGCCTCGGGAAGCCAAACCTCAGCCGTGAGAGCCACTGATGTCAACATCTTCATCAGCCTGCTTCACTTACACTTGTGATACGGCTGCTTTAAGCTACCGTAGGAAAACTGTGCTATTATGGTAGTGGCCACTGTCAACAAAACCAGAAATGAAAGAAAACACAGAAAGCTGCTTCTTATCTGAGTTTGATTTTATTGTAGTAAAGCTACAGTAATCTAGTGGGAACTATAGTTACCAATGTGCAGTGAAAGGGATTTTAGCATTCTCTTGTGTTTCCAGAAGAAAACAATCAACTCGACTTGAAAAGCAATGCTTTCTAGTGTCTGCAACCACAAAAATTACCATTAATATGTCAATGTGAACATGCATCATGGTAATACCATGTTTTTGCATGTTACTACAGTGCATGTGCAAAAAAATCTAAAAGCATGGTATTAATATGATGCATGTATGTATATAAAAAAGTGGTATTGTCATAGCACATGCCCAAAAACATATTACTATGATGCATGTGCAAAAAACATGGTATTACCATGGTGATATGTAGTACTATGATGCATATATAAAAACAATGGTTTAATATTATATAGTTTTTGAACATGTGCTTTGATATGTTGTTTTAGGCAGGCATCATATAATACCATGCTTTTGGACGTTACCATGGTAATACCATATGTTTGCATGTGTTACCATGATAATGCTATGTTTTTGGACATGCACTATGACAATACCATGTTTTTTATAAATGCATCATAGTAATCCCATGTTTTTGGACATGTTACCATGGTAATACACATGCACATGCATGCACTATGGACCTGCACTATGATAATGCCATGTTTTTGTTTTTAAACATGCATAGTAATACCATGTCTTTACGTGTTTTAGGACGTTGTGTGTGTTTTGCACATGCATCATTGTGATACAGTGTTTTTGGACATGTTACCATGGTATGATTTTGGACATACGCTATGACAATACCATGTTTTTTGTTTTTTTTTGCATATGCATCATGCCTTAACACCATGTTTTTTTTATATGCACCATGGTAATACCATGTTTTTGTACATGCACTATGATAATACCATATGGGTTTTGGACAGATACGCTTTTTCAAATGTTTAATGGATCTTGAATCGGTAATACTATGGTATATCCCAAAATACCATGCTGTTATCATCACTGTACCACAGTACACCTACAATATTTATTGTAAGGGAAATGCAATGAATAATAATTTAGTATACATTAGAATGTTGCAGTTTGGATGATTTAGGCGGTGTTAATAAATATATTTAGAGAGAGAGAGAGAGAGAGAGAGAGAGAGAGAGGATCACAGCGGCTCTACGGCTACAGACAAGCGTCACACCGACACATCCGTCGCGCTTTACAGTGAAACGCTAAAACGCGCGACACAGGCCTGCGTCCGCAACCCTAAACCGACACATAGCGGATTGTTCGCGTCTCATATGAGGCACACGAGCAGCCAAACCCTTCCAGAGGAAACCGTCGAGTGCTTAATGAAAGCGATCGAGCGACTGACCGGGAAGAAAACGAGGAAAATCCAGGAATAATGCACGACTCCGAGGTAACGTGTGATCGCCTTTCATTAATGTGCGCGTGTGATTGTCAATGTTCAGTTACTGATGGGGTTTAGAGATCGTTTTATACATTGGCACAGGACTGCATTGCTTTCATCCCTATATAATGTTATATAGTGCTCTAATAGTACAGTATATAATGTCTATCCAATAACAGGGTGTCGTTGGAAAGAGAAACAAACATGACACCGCACAGTAAACCCGGCGGCTGCACAGGTGCTCGGGCATCTCTCGTGGATTTAAAGGGATACTTGTATTTTATGAATATATATATATATATATATATATATATATATATAAATAAAATAAATAATATTCTTTCTTTCTTTCGCCATAGGTTTGTGTGAGGCACTGCCATAATTCTGAAATATTCTGTAAATGAGATTTTTAATTTTGGGTGTACTGTTCCTTTAATGTGTGTGCCTTGGGGATTGTGGGGTCAGATATGTTTCCAAATAGCTGATGGGTAACACAAGAGCTCCCCAGTGAGGGATATTGGCGTAATTAGTTGTGGTGATGCTACAAGCTCTTGATCTGGCAGTTTAAAACCGTTTTGACATTTTGTTCAGCAGCGTCGAGGACATAGGCTACAGAAATGCTTTAGACTTTAAACACTTTAAAAATGGTGTTAAGATGCATTGGAAATGATTGCAGAGAATTAAATCTCATTGTGTTTTTCTCAATATGAGAGTGACAAACAGCATCTTACGAACACGTTTAGTAGTTCTAATAAAAGTGTAATGTACATCAAATCAATAACAGCGCCTTGAAGCTTCCTGAACAGTATAAAAATGCTGAAACACCAATGCAAAGACACGATTATGATGTTACAGGCTCTAGTAATGCTGCACATGGGAGTGGAACAGCATTCTTGATGAGGCTGTGACATCATAATGGGGCTGGATGGTGTCCGTGGTAACTGTAGAATTGTTTATGTCCTTGGTAACCGTTCTGTCAATTGAGTTAATCAATGCTGCCTCACGGACTCACATGTGCACTTCTGAAAGCATTAGGTCACGTTTGCAGGCTTTGGGGGTCAAACCGAGGCTGGGATTTCTTGACCTTTGCGCACACACGTTCACACGTTCAGGACGACCAACCATCATCAGTTCATTAAACTGAAGAGCAGTCGTTAGCGCATCAGTATTCACACATTAGCACCTGCCAACACCCACTTCACTAGTCAACCAATAAGCGTGCAATAATATAACAAAAAGTGTACATCATAAAGACAATATAAGCATGTTACGGGGCTCTATTTTTATTGCCTTTTTCCCCTCACATATTTTAGTAATCATCCTAAATTAGATATCTTTCGAAAGCTTAAACATTCAAAATTCATCTGTGAAAAAAACTTGTAACACCTTTTGTCTGCAAAAATGTAATAAAAGAAACATGTGGCTGAAATCGGACATTGCTTACCATGGAAAGGATACTTTACAACCTTTTAGCAGGCTCCTCCCCCGAGTGGGCGGTGTCAAGTGTCATATTACAAAATACTACAATATTGTATCATTGAAACCTTTTCTAATCTTATCACATATCATTGGTCTGAGTCTCAAGGTTCCATATTTGGTGACTATTTTGTGATAGAAGTAATATTGTGACAGAAATCTATACATTTGTGACAGGAATTGCATTAAAAAAATTCAGTGGAATTTGGGTGTCACCTAGTGGCTATTTTTGGTATAGTGCCTAAACAACATCTTACAGGTACCTCAATTTTTTGTGATATCAACTTCAAATTTGGCAAATAACGTGGATAAATGTTACTTTGAAAGGTTTACGCGTCCCTGATTGATGCGTTGTTGAAATAACAGAAATGATGTTGGTCTTAAAGGGACAGATCACCTAAAAATGCAAATTCAGTCCATATTTACTCACCCTCATGATGTTAAAACCTCGTGAACGTACTGTATTTAATGACGCAAAAGCAGAAATTTAGCCGAATATCATTGGCCATCTGTTCCATACAATGCAAGTGGATGGGGACTGACGCTGACAAGGGTAAAAAGGATATATATATATACATTAAAAAAATTCAGTGGAATTTGGGTGTCACCTAGTGGCTATTTTTGGTATAGTGCCTAAACAACATCTTACAGGTACCTCAATTTTTTGTGATATCAACTTCAAATTTGGAACATACACACTAAAAAATGCTGGGTTATTTCAACCCAACTTTGGGTCAACTTTGGACTAACCCAAATTTTGGGTTAAATATTGAATGTAAAAATTTAACCCAACGGTTGGGTTAGTCCATATTTGACCCAAAGTTGGGTTGAAATAACCCAGCATTTTTTAGAGTGTAACTTTAGACATATAGCTTTGATTTGATAACAATTTTAGCAATTTTTTTAGTATGGCATATTTTCTTTACAGTAAATGTAAACTTCTGTATTTTTTTTTACACTTTCATATTTTGCAATTTTTTTCAGCAATAATCTGCTGATTGTTTTCTTTAAACATATTGCAATGAAGATCTTCTGAGAGGTTGTCAGGATTTTTGGTTGTGCAATAATATTATAAATTGTACATCATAAAGACATTATTTGTTAATATTTTTTATAATTTTCAAACTACTAGGAGAATGTTTTTCAACATATTTAAATATGCATACAGAATATTCACAATATATTCACAATAATTTTACTGGCAACATAAAATTAAGTGAAATTTAGTAATTTTTGTATTGTCAAAAAAGCAATTTTTCAAGTGGTACTTTCTTTGTGTTTCTTTTTGTAAAATCATAGCGAACACTTCTAGAGAATGGTTTCTAGGTTCAGAAAATCGGTGTAATTCCAGAGTAGTTGACTAATCTTATTTTAGGCCTTAAGCCACAGGCCAGTTAACTCAGGAATGTCCTGCATTGACGGTGTCAGACTTGCTGTCCCCTCGTCTTTTGGGTTGTGCTTTTAAAATGCTGGTGGAGGTGGAGCGTCACGTGTGTGTGAAAGAATGTTGTTGCATTTGGGGGGTGAACGACCGCAGATGATGCACAGAGTCACGACCCAAACGTTTAGATGAACAAGCGTCTATTTAACATCGCATGTCATGCAAAAACGGGCAATTTAACAACCTCTTCATATTCTCATTTTTGTTGTTAGATTGTGCTTTGGATTGAATTGTAGTGTTTATGTTGAGCTGGCTAGTTTGTGGTATTGTATCTAGGTGTTGTTCACTCTCGCCTGTTTTAACAGTGGAGGTTCAAATGTGCCATCCCTTCTGTACTCAGATCTGTATTCAGCATCACACTGACCAGATTCATAAAGGCACGCATGCACATCTCAGAGTAACAGGAACAGTGGTTGCTAGGGTGTTGCTATGTGCTTTAGGTGTTGCGAACATATTTCTATGCAGTTAGGTTCTCTAGCTGGTTGCTAGGGTATTCTGAGGGGTTGCTAGGGCATTACAGTTGCTAAGGTCTTTTGGGTGGTCGCTAGGTCATTGCTATGCAGTTGCAAGGGTGTTCAGATTGTTTTAATCTCTATGCAGTTACTACTAAGGTTCGTTGCTAGGGTGTTCTTGGTGGTTGCTATGGCATTGCAGTTTCTAAGGTCTTCTGGGTGGTTGCCAGGGTGTTTGGGTAGTGACTAGAGCATTGCTATTGGTTGCTAAGGACTTGAACCAAGTTTTACTGAAGTTACAATGATTATTGGATGGTTGCCAGTGTTTTGGATGTTGCTAGGACATTGCTATGCAGTTGCTAAGGTGTTTGTAGTAACTTCATGGAAACGTGCTTAAGACACTGTGAACACCTTAGCAATTGCATAGCAATGCCCTCGTAACCAGCCAAACATACTGGCAACCACCCGATAATCTTAGTAACTTCATAGAAACATGCTCAAAAAACGAATTATCGGGTAGTTGCCAGGGTGTTCAAGTGGTGACAAGGACATTTTCTATGCAGTTGCTAAAGTGTTCATAGTTTTAAGCAGGTTGCTGTTTTCTGGGTGGTTGCCAGGGTGTTCACGTGGTTGCTAAGGCATTGCTATGCTGTTGCTAAGGTGTTCAGAGTGTTTTAAGCATGTTGCTATCTTCTGGATGGTTGTCAGGGTATTCAGGGCTGCTGCTGTGCAGTCGAATGTTGCTAAGATGTTACTAAGTTTCTATGGGTGTTTAATGCGGTGCTCTGGGTGGTTGCTTGGGCATTGCTATAGTGTTGCTATGGTGTTCAATGTTTTAAGCATGTTGGTGTGAAGTTACTAATATCTGAGAAGTTGCTAGGTCATTGCTATGCAGTTGCTAAGGTCTTCTGGATGGTTTCTAAGGTCTTCCTACAACGGGTGTTTTTTATACACTATCAAACTAATTTTATGCATCTGTCAAACATAGATCTCTCTAGTATGTAGTTGACTTTACTCTAAGATCCAGTACATAACTTCCCAGGACATTTTTCATCTGGCGTCACCCAACACCTCGTTCCAGCAGGTGATGCAGTACAGAAGTGTTTGATTGCACTGTACTCATTAGATTAGAATCTTCTGTCATGTCCGTTTCATGTTTTCTGTCGAGTAGGTGCTCATGAGATTGTCTCATTGTTTCCTGTATAGACTCTGCAATTGGCCCCTGACCCTGTTGTCATAACAGCAGGCTTAACTAGGGATGTAACGATTAACTGCGAGCCGGTTGAATTTAACAACTGCATAACAAGTCTGCAGTCTCCCAGAAAACCCTAGCAACGCCCCTGGCAACCACCCCATAACATCCTTGCAGCCACAGAGAAACGGTAAAAAAAGCTCTCTGATCATCTTAGTAACCACAGCCCTAGTAACCATGTCAGTCAGTAACTGCGTTTACATTGCCCTTCAAATTGTGCAAATTGAAATTGCAAATTAAAAATACGCCCAATGGAAGCACGCCAATTGTGCAAAAACTCCCATATAGCGCAAACATTTTTTACGCTCGCATGAGGAGGTTTTTCAGGCAATTCGAAAAAGGAATATTTTGCAAAATTGCAATGGAAACGTGACTGCAAAAGTCACAT